AAAAAAAAATAGTGTGAAAAATTATTATTATTATTATTATTATTATTATTATTATTATTATTATTATTATTATTTTAATAACAAATTATTTAAAATTAGCTTCATAAAACTGCACTAAGCACATGTAGAAGTGAGCATCGATGTCATTAAGTACAAAACCACACCGAACCAAAAATCGAACTTAGCAATAAAAATGGCTGAACACCACCACAATTTCAGGAAAAATTGACTCGAATTTTTTTATACTTAGGTTTTCGAACCGAACTACACCAAAACGTACGGCTCGACTTAGTTTGGTTCTGTCTCGAGTTTCTTATATGTTCATTTAATTTAGTGTTGTTCGGTGCAAAATTATACCAAACTTAATAAAATTAAAAATCGAACTTATGAATAATAATAATATTGCACCACACCGTAGCCTACCACGTCGAATTACACGATTCTGCACGATTTTTAGGTTTCAACACAATTTTGCTCACCCTAAGACCAAGGGAGTTTCATTTGGGATTTGGGATTGAGATTCGTTTTTCATTTCATTCTGTTGTGAAGAAGTCCAATTCATATGTGTTTTTCAGTATATAATTTACAATAGTTATATTATATTGATAACTAGTACAACACCCGTGTATTACACGGGTGTTTGTTAAAAAATTATTCTTAAATTTTAAAATTAATGAGAAAACATATTAAATTTAGGTTATTTTTTTACAAAAAAAATATATTACTATATATTTTAGAATGATATGTGTTATTTATGACTTACATGTGTTATATTATATTAGTTTTTATAACTTATATCATATAACTACTTGAAATATAAATATATTAGTTGATAAATAATTTTATTTTTCTAATTAATATTAAAAATAATTTTATTATTGTTATAAATATAAATATAAATTATTTTTTTATACATATAATATGGATGTTAAATCGAAGCTCATCAAAAGAAGATTAATTTGATATATTACATATGTAAAACTGATAAAAATGCAAAAGTTATGACTTTTAAAATATATATACAATTCAATAGTTATAATAAGGAATGATATTAAAATGCAATTAATACATGTAACATGACCATAAATAATCAACATATTTATAGTAATCCGAACCTAATTATTTTTGGTTTGGAATTAAATTAAAATTTATCCAAGCCTAATAACGAAGCAAGTAATTTTGCCACATAAGATTCTGAAGCACCAGAAGCAGTCACGTAGGCTCAGCGCATTCTGAATTAATGGGGATGTTTATGTCTATCTTGTTAAAATAAAATTTCAGAATGCTAAGTTGGACATTGTCCAACATAAAATTTATTGTCTCATGATAAACTTAACACTATAACTTGCCAAAAATATATATATAAAAAGTTACACTAATAGTGAATTGTAGGATAAAATTTGGCTTTTTTTTTTTTGGTCCGACTTAATTATGGTGTCATTCGACATATGTTTAGTGAGATGACCCAGTATTATATTCACCTCGTTAAGTCGGTCATACACTTATACCTATAAAATTTCAATCTAATCGAAGTTCATTTCATTTGCTCGCATAGTTTTCCGTCCATAGTAACTTGGTCGTTTTATATCCAGCCTAATTTCGGTGTCATCTGACGTTCGTTTCAGTCGATTGACCCGAATTTGGTCTCGTCCCATCGAGATGTTCGTACCCATAAAATTTCAGCCTAATTGAAGTTCATTTGTCCAATTAATTTATATTTCAAAGTTGCACGGACTATAGCCAATTTAATGTTTTACTCACAAAATATTTTGTACAGATTGAGTTGTAAATAAACCAATTTATCCCGAGTTAATTTTAAATAGGCTGTGAAAGTAACTGAACCATATACGAGCTTGTACGTTTCTATGAATTTTATAAATAAAAACTAACAATTTATATAAAAAAAAAAATGTATAGTATGCATTACATTAGTTAAAAAATAAATATTTTTTTATCAGAAGTTATCTATGACAGAATAATGAAAAGATAAGAAGAATAACAACCATTACAACTATAGATTAACATCACAATTATATGTTATGATGATAGAACGGTTACATCTTTTTCACAAAACTTAACTTTTGCAAACATTAAAAATATTTTGAGACATTGCTAATAATTGAAGCTACTAATTTATGCTATAACATTTTAGCTAGTACGGTACCTATGTACTGCACGGACACTTGAAGAAAATGATACTTTATAAGAAAAAAATAATAAAACTATTATATTCATATTGATAAATTATAAAAAAAAATAGAGAACTAAAATGATATTATTTAACATGAAACCGTGTTCTAAACTTGATTTGTTAAAAGTAATAGTAGTTAATTATATTTATCAAATTGTCCAAAGCAAATGATATCTACAATACCATAAATTTGATTTCGATTTTGTAGTTTTCTTAAATGTGTTATTGTATTGTAGTGATTGATTTCTCATATATTAATTTTTAGGTACTTTATATTTTGTGATTTGAAATATAAATTAATAAATACAAATATAATATTTTCTAGATTTAGTAAATAAATATATATTTTTTTAATTATGATATTCTATTCGTATTTTTATTTAAAACATCATAATAACATTTAAACTTAATACACACTTTATTAAGTTGGGAATAATGTTTTGAATATTTTTTATATTTATTTTTTGTTGGTACTCATTTTCTACATTTTTCTAGATAATAAACTAAAATGGTTGTTTATGGTATATTTAATAGACTAATATGATGCTCGTGTACTGTATGGGTACTTAAATATATCAATATTTGCAAAATAAAATATAAAACTATTTATATTTTCATTATGGAATTATGTATAATGAATAAACAACAATATACAAAGTAATAACTAATTCAAATAGCCGTCCGTCCACATTTTTTGACTAATATCAAAAATGAAATTTTTTAATTATATTTTTCAAATTTTATATATATAAAACAAATATTATTTACAACTCCATATATCCGATTTGAATTTTTTTTTTAAAAAAAAATATATTGTAATTATATTTTATATTTATAGAGTCGTGTCACTGTTTATTAATTTTCTATGTTTTTTAAATTTTATATAATTTATAAATTTAGAATATTAATTTGCGCAAAAATATAATATTTTATAAATTTATAAAACACAAAATTATTTTATTATACTTAATTATGATATCGCTTTATATTTAATATTTTACATAACATAATAACATTTAGTTCCTTATATCTATTAATATATAATAAGAATTAACTTAATTCACTTTTAGTAATCTTTTCCCGCCAAAAACCTTAATTATTGCCTAAAAATAGCTAGCATTAATTGCAATAGATAATAAGGAAGAAATCATTATTTATGGAATAACTATTGGGGCTCTTTTGTTCACGCCAATGAATTGATTCTGTTCACAATCCCGCCATTGCATTGCATTACTTTGTTCATGCCAAATCATTAATTTATAAACCATTATTTATGGAATAAATATTCTGGATCTATTTTAACGTCAACACATTAATTTTCTTCACGCCAATGCATTATGGAACAAATATTCGGACTCCTTTTTGTTCACGCCAATGCATTATGAAATAAATATTTTGGATCATTATTTATGGAATAAATATTCGGACACCTTTTTCCACACCAATGCATTAATTTCGGTTAATACAAATGTGCTAAAAAAAATTGTATAAAAGGATATTCACTACCACCATT